CGGAAGCTCTTGCGGAAGCTCAGGGCGACCCCACGAAACATACGGTAAGAGCAGAAACGCTGTTCGCGGAAGCATCGCGGAAGCAACTGCCAAGAAAATCATCGTGGAAGGGTCCGTGGAAGCAAGATATTTCAGAAGTGCCGACCAAATGGAAACTAGTCTTCGCGGAAGCTCCGCGGAAGGTCGCGGGCGGAAGGGTTGTTATTTCTAAAGAAATCAATAAGGAATAAAAACCATTGCTCAAATGAAAACCATTGCTCAAATGAGCCCCCAACTCCCCAAAAATCCTAAACCCTAAACCCTTTAAAAACCTAAATGCAGTCATGCCCCAGGGTGGAAGTCAAGAGCTGCTGGCCATGCCCGGGCGCCGTGCCTCGACTGTGTTACAACTTTGGGGTTTAGGGTTTAGGGTTTAAGGTTTAGGGTTTAGGGTTTAAGGTTTAGGGCTTAGGGTTTAGGGTTTAGAGGGTGGGTTAACTAGAGCTTGGATATTGCCCTCAATGTGAGAGTTTCTGAAAAAGGGGCGGGGTGGCCCAAGAGACCACAGCAAGGTTTAGGGTTTAAGGTTAGGGTTCAGGGTTGGCCCCAGGGCATATGGGACTACAACGGCTTTATGGGGTCCTGCTTTGGATTCTATACGGATGCTTTTGAGAAAATGATATGGAAGCTGGGCTTCATAGGCCAAACATTGAAATTGTAGTTAGGGGGCGGGGCAGTACTCAAAGGAGAGGTTCTAGCTGTGGAATTGCTGTGAACGGCCAAGGAGAGGAAGATTTGAGCGAAGGGAGTGCACAAGTGTCAGGCTTAGGGAGGGAGGAGGGATGAAGGGCCACGTTAAGTTTAAGGTTTAGGGTTGTCTGGTATTGGGGCATGGAGGGTGTTGAAGCGATTGGGGCTGCAGAGGAAGGGTCCTTGTTTACCGGAGAGGAGTTGAGTGCCTGGGGTGCAATGTTTCAGGGATGATGCTCAAACGTGGTTTGCTTTTGTAGTAGCAACTCCGGACATGCTTGGTGACTGTTAGTATTTCCTACACGGTTGGGAGGCTGTGTCGCAAATACGGCGATTCACCTGCAGGATCCCACCCTTCAAGTCTGAAATCCTGCCGACAGATGCTCACAGAGGGCAGTGCCCTCACAGTAGGCCTCCCAATTTGCACGACAGGTTAGTGTTATGCTTTCCAGGCCATGAAACCCTCAGTTTCTTCAAGTCCCTGGAAGTCTCCTCATCTGAGGCACACGGAACTGACTTGGACTACTTCTTCCAGAACCGGCGCTTCGGCTGTTAGTTTTGACCGAAACTACTACCTTGGTCATTCGGATGTTAGAGAGTTTGGGTAGAAGGGTTTTGGGTATAGGGGT